GCCTAACAAATGGACACGGACAACGGTGGGGGAGGGCAAGAGCGTGGGGGGGGGGGTAGAGTGTAACGTGGGGACAAGGACACATATGTAATTTCTTAATCAATAAAAAATATATTAAAAAAAAAAAGAATATTACCTGGGCTTACAGTTAGCTGAAAGCAATGAAGCTTGTTTGGATCAGGAAAATGCACTTTACATGTACCTGCAAGAGAAATAGCATGTCAGGAAGATCTGAGAGCTGGCGGCAGCTCCCATGAGGCTAACCTCGAAACACACACCCAGGTTAACGGTGTTGGATCCCCTTGCTTGTTTGATAATTGTGCCAATGTGCTAAACTGGCAAACCAGTGATTTTTCCCATGTGATTTCCTGCTACTGTCTTTTACTACTTAATTCTAAATTGAGATGTTTTCTTTCCTTTAAATGGTCACTATCAATATAAATCTTTCCACTGATTTCAAGAATCAGGCTACTTTACTTAGAAAAGAAGAAACCATACCTCAGGGAGATCAAAACACATGGATGGATAAAGGCTCACTAAACATAGGAAAACCAGAAAAAGAACCCAGGTCAAATTTCTGGTCTGCTCAACTAGCACCAGTCATTCGCACCTACCACAGTAAGTGGCTTATTTGTATAAACTAATTTAGATCTCCCCACTGTAACTGGGGGTGAGGGTAGGAAGAAAAAGAAAAAAGAAGAGGGATATATCACAGCCCACTATAACCATAAATACTATATATTAAAAATACTTAAAAAAAAACAATATGAACTTACCCTTAGACACTAATTTCATGACTACCGAAGGATGTACCCCACGATTATCTTTCAGCTTTAGGATATGGGCCCCCTCTCTCTCCAGTCAGATGGGCACTCTGTAACCTTCGCCCAGACTGGGAGACCCACTTGTCAAATATTTCACCCACATCACACACATCCTCAGTATCAGAACAATTTTTTAACCAAGTATGACGAGAAAAAGTTTTAATTCAAAAAAATATTTAAATGGCCAAAGCTTTCAGACTTTGAAGGTCTTAAGAAAGGAACGCTGCCACATATCACAGGTTCACTGCCTGGACAGCAGGCCTGCTCAGGAGTGAGGGCTGCACATGGTCTGAGTGGGAGAACCAAGCATGGGGCGAGGACCTGGTGACATCAGCCAGTACAGCCATCCTACCTCATGCACAAAGATAAATGAGCACTTTCTGGACCAAAATGGTGCATCATCATCACTAGCAAAACTAGGGCTGTGCATTATTGATTTATAGACCTTTTCACTCAAAGATGACGTGGGCAGATAGGAAACCTAGCCAAATGCACCTCTGCTACAGTGAGGAGAGAGACACCACCTGCTACGGTCAGAAAGACTCATCTCCTCCTATCAGAGCCTTGAAAATGGTCTGTTCCCTGCCTGCACAAAATTAAAGCATATTCCTACCATACATGAAATACAGGTTATTAAAATGCACAAGTTTCTCCATGCAATTACTTTTCAGAATTAATGTTGGATGGGGAGCTATACTTACAAGGTAAGTTAGCTTCAAGTTCTGCAACCTCTGTAGAAACAAAGAGATTATTGTTAATATCAGTCAATTATTCCACATGAAATTACTAGCTCTAAATTCACAATTTCTGCCAGAACTGAGGAAAAAATAAGTAAACTAAACAAACCAAATCCTACACTTGGCCTTAAGTTTAGACTTTAAGCCAGTGGTTCTCAACCTTCCTAATGCCACGCGACCCTTTAATACAGTTCCTCATGTTGTGGTGACCTGCAACCATAAAATTACTTCCGTTGCTACTTCATAACTGTAATTTTGCTGTTTTGAATCGTAATGTAAATAACTGATATGCAGGATGTATTTAGGCGACTCCTGTGAAAGTATCGTTCAACCCCCAAAGGGGTCACGACCCACAGGTTGAGAACCGCTGCTTTAAGCCATGAAGTTGCTTTCAAATATACAAAGTGACATGTAGGATGCCACCAAATACAGCCAAGGGCCCTTGAGAGTTTACTTTCAAAATGAAAACCATAACATTAACACAGAAATTACCTCTAGGTAAACAGTCACAGACTGTTTTCTAAAACCTTGTTCCCCCCAAATATAGAAGCTCCTTCCCTCAAAATTGATTTGTTTATATACCTGTGTCTCTTCCATCTTCTCAGACCTGCCTTCCCATGATGGCTCACTTACTGTGTGCTGCACTTTTCAATGAGAGAACTCCGCTGCTGGGGCCTCGCCTGTACTCGTGCCCATGCCCTTGAAGCTGCATTCCTTGGCCCCAATGCTCTCCTCCAGGGCCTGTTCTATCAGTCACTATAGCAATGAAGCCCAGCACCCCTCTGCCAGCACAGAGGTACAAACCCCCAGCCATCCTGCTACTACACAGCTGGTCCTGGGGGGGGCACCCAGAAATAACTGGGCAGGCAAGTGGTCTCTGCCTCAGGCATAATAGAATGCACTGGGATCCGCTCCAGCTGTGGAGACTAAAAGAAGGAGGGTTTTGAGTGGGCTCCAAAGAACAAGAAGAATTTAGTCCTGTAGAGGAGGAGGTAAGTTAGTGATGTGCAAATGCAGAGAACACTGACAGGCACAAAAGCCATAGCAGTGTGATGCAGCCAGGGCAATGGGAAAGGAGGCCAGGATCGTGGAGGTCCCAAGAACATGGCTTAGAATTCTAAACTGTATTCTGCAGCAACAGCAGCCAAGGAAGATCTCTGAACCAAAGTTCTTTTTTTTAAAATATATTTTATTGATTTTTTAGAAAGAGGAAGGGAGAGGGATAGAGAGTTAGAAACATTGATAAGAGGGAAACATCAATCAACTGCCTCTTGCACACCCCCTACTGGGGATGTGCCCGCAACCAAGGTACATGCCCTTGACCGGAATCGAACTTGGGGCCCTTCAGTCCACAGACGGACGCTCTATCCACTGAGCCAAACCGGTTAGGGCTGAATCAAAGTTCTTAAGCTTTGCCTTTAGGAAGGGCACAGCGAAGGCCAGGTGACCTATGAGCTGGGCACTCAGATAGGCAGCAAGGGCCTGGCAGAGGCAGGGTGGTTGAGGGCAGAGCATGGGAGGAGCTGCCAGCTGTGTGGGGCAAGAGGAGTCCAAGATGGAGCATAGGGCTGGGGAAGCCCTGGGAGAAATAAGCTGAAGTCTCGGTGCATGACCAAGGTCAGGGTCGAGGAGCCCCTGCAGAGTGATGCCACCTGAGGTCATGAGACCAACAAAGTGGGGAGACTGGTGAGAAAAACCTCAGCAGAAAGCAGAGCACAAGAAGCCAGGAAAGTTAATAGTAAGAAATAGGTGGAAAACTATGGGGAAATGTGGTGATTCATTAAAGAGAGGACAGACTGGTCCAAGCGGAATGAGGCCCAAGGCATGGCCAGAGGGTGTGATGGACCCAGCTGAGGGCATTCAAAACAGCAGGAAGGCAAGTGGAATGGTGGAAACCAGATTTAAAAAACTAAAAAGCAAATGTGTGGTCAAAATATAAATGCTATAGGTATAAAGATTTCTTCAAGTGATGTGGGGAGGCATGGGAAGAGGAGTGGAGGGGAGGGCAGAGGCCACCGTGCTTGCAAAGCTGAGTGCTGAGCGCATTAGTGGGAAGATTGGCGGGTGGTTCTATTCTCAGGCTAAAAATTTCGGAAACCCACAGGCCTTTGACTTCAGCTGATTCAGAATCTGGGTAGGGACATGTGGCCCACGAAATGTATCAGCTTGGGAGTCCAGGGGTTTGGAATTGCATCCACAAAGTGGAATGGGGCAGGGGAGCCAGGAACACAGTCCAGGGTGTTATAGCCAATCAGTGGAGCTGGGCGTGGGGAGAGCAGTAACCCTAATCATCCTCTGGCCATGACTGGAAAAGGACCAGATTTTGTGGTGAAATGCAAGCCCTCTTGGCAGTGTTATGTTGTACATTCAAACATAGGCACTTAACAAAACAACATCATGGAGAGCCCATGAGAAGTTCAATAACATAACTCTCATACCGACCACGGTGATCTTCAGTTTTGGCCTCCTGACTGGCTCACTACTGCCCTACCCTAGAGCAGGGTGCTCAGGAAAGAAAGCAGGCTGTGGAGGACCACAGCTCTCTGCACTCCGAGGCATCCACACCAGGTCCTCTGATGGGGGGGGGCAAGGGCCTTGCTCTGCTCCAACAGTTCACACAGGATTTCATTGTATCAGAAAAGCAAACATTTTATAAATGAGTCATTAATATTAACAACTTTAAATGTTATCCATATAATTAAACTATGTTTTTAAGGCAAATTCTATTTATATATTTTATTATACCATTATTTAACTTTTTATTGATAAGAATTTGCAAGAAACGGTTCTTGAGGCCCTTCTTCTGAGACAGATGCTGGCCACAGGAACCCGGCTTTCTCTGGGGGCCTATGCCATCTGCAGTCAGGAGAGCTCTGCTCGCCCAGCTTTACAAAAGCCCAGTGAAATGTGCCCGGAGGATTTGAGGGAGAGGGCACCTAATGGAAGTGAAATGTCTGAGAAGACATTCTAGTGCTAAGGGAAGAGAGGAGGTCTGGACCCAGAGGGGTGGGGAGGTGCTGACCAGGGCATGATGATGACAGAGCCACAGAAGCAGCCCCCACACAGCTGGCACAGGCGGAGGACACCTCACTCTAGGACAGGATTCTCCACCCTGGCTGCAATGCCAATCACCTGGGGAGATTTTTCCTGACTTTTTCAATAGCTTTGGTGAGTACAATTTACACACTAAAAAACAGACCTACTTAAGTGTATGATTCAATGATTTTTAGTGAAATCTGGGTTGTGCTACCATTGCCACAATCTAGAACAGGATGGGGAATATCTGGCCAGAGGGCCATATAAAGCCCGAGAAATCATTTGGTCTGGCCCTGCCAAGGCATTAGGGGTGAGTTAATTAAATGTTTGACCAAATATAGCAGGCCAATTTTTAAGCTGATAATTTTGTATGTTATAAATATCCAAATGGCCCTTGGCAGAAAAAAGGTTCCCACCTGCGATCTAGAACCTGCAGAGCAAACCCTGCCCCCTCAGTGGTCCTGCCAGGCCAATACACCAGAAGTCCTAGGTGGGCCCAGGCCTCTGAGTTGCTACTCTCCCAGGGTGCAGGAAATTGCTGTCAGCTGTAGTACCAAGCTCTATTTATACATAGCTGGTTACACAGACAGACTTAACAACTTCATATTGTAGTCTAGACTTAAAATCCTAAAATGAGCACTATACTTGCATTTCCACGTTCAGTGTGACTCACTCAAAGAAGGTGGACAGGGCCAGGGAGAGCCCTCAGACCCAGTCCAGCAATGACCCCCACCACAGGCAGGACATCTGCAGGCTTCTGGTCCAACAGCCAGTACAGCAAGGAATACCATTCTAGCCCTGGCCAGTTTGGCTCAGTGGATAGAGCATTGGCCTGTGGACTGAAGGGTCCCAGGTTCGGTTCTGGCCAGGGGCACATGCCTCGGTTGCAGGCTCAATCCTCCCCAGTAGGGAGTGTGCAGGGGGCAGCCAGTCAATGATTCTCTCACTGTTGATTTTCTATCTCTCTCCCTTCCTCTCTGAAATCAATAAAAATACTTAAAAAAGGAAAAAGAAATACCATCTGGGGCACAAGGATTTCAATAAGGTACTCTAATTCAGCCCAGTATACAAGACAAAACGAGCCACAAAGGCTCACGCGGTGTTGCTCTCAGGGAGCTGTCACCAATGACAATAGTTTCTCTATATCTCCGATGATGACAAATACTAGTCATTAACATCAGCAGTTACCACCTTAGAATCCATGTACACTAAGACTCTGACCAAAGAAACAAGTGGACTGCTTTACATGTTGAGGCCTCTTAGAAAAGCAGCCACCCTTCCCTGCATATCCTTAGTGCCAAAGGACATGACCCCACCTGTTCTGTAACAAGAAATTCAGATATTTTTACACTGCTTAAGGCAGGGGTCCTCAAACTTTTTAAACAGGGGGTCAGTTCACTGTCCCTCAGACCGTTGGAAGGCTGGACTATAGTTTTAAAAAAAACTATGAACAAATTCCTATGCACACTGCACATCTTATTTTGAAGTAAAAAAACAAAACAGGAACAAATACAATATTTGTATTTGCATGTGGCCCGCGGGCCGTAGTTTGAGGACCCCTGGCTTAAGGTTTCACCTGTCCCAAGATGTTAACACCTTCACCACACACTGGCCCTGCCTTTCTGGGAGGCACCTGGCAACTTGCACAATTCCGTGGCTGCACAACTTCCTTCTGAGAAATGAGACTCTTTTCCTTTCTAACTAAAGATCAAACCACAGAGCCCACTTGAAGCATGACTGCACAGAAAGACCAGATGAACCTGCACTCTCTCCATGGCGGAGAATGAGCAACTTGCCCAGCCCTGCGACAGTACCTGGTCCTGAGCCTGGCACACACAGGGTGCTCAGGAAGTGCTTGACAAACAAGCACACTTGTTGGCAAGATGGCAGTGAATGTCCTGAGGCATGAGGAGCCTTTCTCCTGAGATAGCTGGGGACAAAGGCTGCAGACAGGTTCATTCCTTTTAGAGCCCCTGATTCCAGACCTGAGCTTGAACTCATTCAGCTCAGTTCCAAATCTCCACACTTAACAAAGACTAACATAGGCAAAAAGTGTCTGCCAGCCTGCCTGGGCACCTTGAGGGTCAGAATCAGTAGACTGATAACAAGCAGGCACTAAGTTTGCTGAGTGGACAAGTGAAGAAACAGGGACAGACATACACCCACTGCATGAAAAGGGCCACCTTCTGAAAGACAAGAAGCCAGCAATTCTGCCTGAGGGCTTTTTGGGGAGATAGGAACACCATCAGACTCAACAGCCCCACAAAGGTTCAGTAGGAGCGCAGCACCAACTGCCCTTTGGCCGAAAGCACTAGCTCCCCAGTCAGGCTGTCGTGAGTTGGGGCCAACAGGAAATGCACAGATCTGACACCCTCTCCCCAGTGTCCCCAGCTCACAGGGTTCAGAGCAGGCAGTGGCCCTCGATCCTAGCCCAGTCCACCGGATTGTTCTACACTCTCCATTTCTGGCCTGGAGGACATCCTTGAGAACCATCCTGGGGGTTCAAATGTGGTGAAGGTGTCAGTATGGTAGAGGGTGGGCGTGGCGGCAGCACCTCGCTTGGCTGGGCCCTTTAGGCCCTGAGTTTCTTTCCCAGGTGCTAGCTGCTCTGAGACAGGTTCTGGTGTATGCAAGGAGAACTGACTCCAGCTTCTGTTGTCCTTCAGAACTGGACCTCGCAGGTCCTGGAAGACACCTCCTGCCCTTGGAGTAGGGGCGAAGTCCAGCATGGCGAGCTCCAGCGGGCTACCCAGCTATGTCAGGGCCGGATGTGTGTGGGAGCCTCTCTTCTCTGCATTTGCACTTCTGTCCTGCTCCTTCGTTCCTGCTTGCTAGGCCCGCCCAAGAGCCTGCCCTGCCCCAATAGGTGGGTCCAGCTGTCCTCCTGCACTAAAGCTGCCCTAGCAAGTTTCTCAAACTCCTGAGTCCAGCTTCAAAATGAACCACCACCCAGCAAGGATTAGCAAAGGTCAAACTAGATTTGCACTAGAAAGTGCCCAACAGAGGGCCACTCTGTTGTGCCCACCCTCCACTCCAAGGACCACAACACACATCAAACCCTTTTCCAGGTGCTGCCCAGCTCCTGCTCCTCTGTAGATGGAACCCTTGGGCTACCACCCGGAAAAGAGACTCAGGTCCTAAAGGGCCCACCCAAGTGAGGTGCTGCCACGACCCCACAGGATAAAGCTGCTTAGCAAACCCTCTGCAGTCCAGCGCTCTCCCCGACAGAACAGGCAATGCCAAAACGTATAAAATGATTCTTACTCTACCAGGAGGCATAAGCCAGAGCTGAGTCAACATTAGAGGCAGCAGAACAAGGAAATAGGCGCCCCTGAACCTGAGGCCTTCCTGTTCCCATCCCTTCCCAAGCTGAGCACTGCTTTGTTTCTGAGAAGGCCCAACACGGCACGTGTGTACACAGCGCGTGCACACGCATGGCTCCCCTGCCACACTCAGTGTCAGGATATCAAATACCAGTCACCCACACGGTGTCTGCCTAAAAGAATACGAACACAGGCAGTTCTAACAAACTACTCACAAATAAAGTGCTTCCTAGCTCCTCACACTTAAGAAATGAAAACACATGTCATAAGCTCTTTCAAGCAGGGACTGTTTCTCCCTCCACTCTGTAGTCCTTGACCCTAGGAAACTGCCTAAGCACCTGAGAGCTGTAAGTCTGTGCAATGAGTGATGCAGAAGCGGCGCACAAATGCATGTGAGCCACAGCTCTGGGACAATGTGCTGTTAATTCTGCAAGGGGAACTGTTTGCACAGGCTCTCCTCAGGCTTTGACTTGACTAAATGGAGAAGGATCCTAAGAGATTACCCAATACCACTCCCTCCCTTGGTGCTGAGGAGTCCAGAAGAAACAAAGACCCCTCTCCCAAGCCATCCTTCACGTTGTTGTGGGATATAAAGAGCTCACATGGATGTCGTCACCTTTAACGAGCAGCCTGTCTCTCACAGACACCCTCCGAGTGGAGTCAGAGGCTGTGGCTGACGTCCGGGACCCTTTGAGACCATCATCCCGCTTCAGTTTGCTCGCCAGTGTCAGCATTACTGCTGCCTTTACCCTGAAAGACAGATGGAAGCTCGGTTAAGAACAAGTCTCTAGACAGCAGCTGGAGACTGACCACAACCATGTAAGTGGTTTTCTTTTCTTTAGTTGTAGAAAAATTTAGCATATTAGCTACATGAAGACTGGATTCCTACATAATAGAGTTGGGTAATCTCTACACCATCCTCTACAAGTCTAATTTTTTAAAGTATGAGTTAAATTTTTTAAAAGGGATTTAACACTCACTGGGTGCCAGGCCCTGGGGTATGGTGGGGAGAGAGCTCCCAAGCTCACAGTCTAGGGGAGCCTCCACTGACAGGTTCCCCTTGGGCTCACCACTGTCCATTTAAGTCTGCCCTTCCCCACTGCAGGGACATGCACCTGTGTGTACCCCGCATGCTGGGCCCATGGCAGACTGGGGCAGGGGGTGTCAGCCTCTGGTGAGGACACTGTGATGCTTTGCTTTCCTTCTTCCTTTAAGAAAGGTGGGGCTAGAACAGGGGTGGGCAAACTTTTTGACTCAAGGGCCACAATGGGTTCTTAAACTGGACCAGAGGGCCGGAACAAAAGCATGGATGGAGTGTTTGTGTGAACTAATATAAATTCAAAGTAAACATCATTACATAAAAGGGTACGGTCTTTTTTTTCAATAGTTTTATTCATTTCAAACGGGCCGTAGTTTGCCTACGGCTGGGCTAAAACCTTAATAAGCATGTTCACATTTATTTGTTGTTTTTTATTTACATTTTTAGGCAATATCAACATCAAGATTAAGTTATAATGAATGCCCCAAAAATAGATTCTCTTTGCTGGCTGCTTTCAACCCATCTGTGTTTCAGATTCCCACTGAGAGCTCACAGGTAAGAATAATAAAGACCAACACAGGTGATGCACACCTGACTGCTTGGAAGAAAGGGTTTAAGAAATGTCACTATATCTGTACAGGTATCACTGTCCTTTAGAACAGCAGTCGCCAACCTTTCAGACCTCACAGACCACCGGCTGGCAACAGCTGCTCTAGAATCTGCCCTCCATTTCTACATAAGATGCCATTCACCTGCTATGCCTCCTAGTTCTTACTTGCTTTGGTACAGCTGGAAAGGGACTCGAGCTTCTTCTGACTATGGACACAAATTGGTCACCAGCCCCATAATTTCCTGCATTACCTTAACATCAATTCCTTTCAATACCACTCTGATCATTTTCAAGAGAAAATGATCTAAAACTTCAGAGGGCCCTATCTGGTTGCTCAGTGAGCCGCCCTAGGTGATTTGGCTCAGTGGATAGAGCGTTGGCCTGTGGACTAAAGGGTCCTGGATTCGATTCCGGTCAAGGACACATGCCTGGGTTGTGGGCTTGATCCCCAGCAGGGAACAGGCAGGAGGCAGCCGATCAATGATTCTCTTTCATCAATGATGTTTCTATCTCTCTCTCTCTCCCGCTCCTTTCCTCTCTGAAATCAGTAAAAGTATATAATACATAAATAAAAATTTTAAAAACTTCCAGAGGAAAAGTTGATCTAAGCACAGAACTTTTAGTTTGAGGCTAAGATCTTTAAAAGCAAAGTATGTATAAGGGTACCCCTCCTCCCTGAGTATTTTTTTTACCATTTTAACCCAAGTCCATTACATAGCTTCTCACACTATCTTCTATATCCCCCCCAGAGACTGTAAGGTTTTATTTTCTATTAGAGGTCTGGTGCATGAAATTCATACAAGGGGGGTGGGGGGGGCGGGGCGCGGTCCCTCAACCCAGCCTGCATCCTCTCACAAACTGGACCACTGGCTCCTAACCGCTCACCTGCCTGCCTGCCTGATCGCTCCCAACTGCTCTTCCCTGCCTGCCTGATCGCCCCTAACTGCCTCTGCCTCAGCCCCCCACCACTGTGGCTTTGTCCAGAAGGATGTCTGGAAGGACATCTGGTCTATCCGGTCAATTAGCATATTACCCTTTTATTCGTATAGATTTTTTGTACCATGAAAACAACATATTAAATATCTTCTGAATTATGACCTCTGCACACACACACATGTGCAAACACACACATGTGCATGCACACACATACACACCTCTAACCCTTAAAAAATCACTGGTCTAAATGCTTCAGAAGATAGTTCAACTACATATTAGGTTTCACAAGCTATGAGAATTTCAAATCTGGGAAGGCCTTCTACTCCTCATACTTTTTACAGATGTGGACGCCCAGACCATGGGGGCATGGGGACTAGCTTGTCCTAGGTCACTCAGCTGCCAGAAACAGTCACCACAGAAACACTAGTTTCCCTTCTGGAGATGATGGGAACATTTTTACCTTGAGTGTGGTGATGGTTCCAAAGGTATATATCCATCCAGCAATTTGTATACTTTAAAACATGTGCAGTTAGTGTACTTCAATTACACCTTCAAGAAAGTTGAAAAAAAGGTGAAAACACACCAACACTAGCTTTTTCATTCCCATCTATCGTCATCTTTTCAAGTGGATCTATGTAGAGGCATGGACCACAGTCAAGGAGAACGCCTTTTCAGGTTTACCCAGAGCAGGGGCTCCCAGTTCAGTTTATAAAGCAACTTCACAAAAGGGGGGGTACCGGGAAAGGGAACAGAATGAGAATACCTTTCGGTGCTGCAGCCCACAAGCTACCAGAGACAGCTCTTGCTTAGCAAACCCCACCTAGAATGATCCATCAGGCACCCTTAAGCAGATCTGGACCACAAGGCAGCGCTTGCCTCCCAGTCAAGCCCACTGCCACGCACCGAGAATGAGCACATCAGTCCTACCACATTGTCAGGGCCACCCGAGGACAATGGCCAAAACAGGCATCTGTCACTTGGGGTCTGGCTGGAAGCACTTGGTTTTTATCCTCTACCTGACCTTGGCAATGAAATATGGAAAGAAATAAAATAAAAGCACAGCACGTATAGAGCTCAGCAGGCAGCACATGAGGAAAGTCACGAGAAAGAGCCCCGTGGAAAAGCCAGGGCATGAGCACATGCCTGGTCCACACCCAGCTTCCTGGGTGGGCCTACACTGAGGGAGCCACTCAGAGGGCCCTGGCAAGACTCACCGCACCAAGAAAGGCTCACGCCAGCACTCTTCTGTGCCCCTGCAGTCTAAGGACTCTGCTTAGTTCTTTCACAACCCTATTGCCCCACACTCAGTTCCTCTCTGGGATAAGCCCACACGCAATTCCACTTAGGTTCCTGGCCTGAGATCTTCAAGTTTGTGGTCCTTGATAAAACATACGGGGCACTGGCTGTGCAACATATAAAAGAAAATAACACTGGTGTTTCCTCTTCCACATAAGATAATACAGACTTACTTCCCTAGCATTCTAAGAAAATTAAGGATATAATGACCATCTATTTCTCCACCACCTATATCATTATCATGTGTCACTTTAGGGATAAAAGGTCTAATTTGGAAATGTGCCCATAGATGCTAAATTAACACTAAACGAAGAGCTTTGAAGAAAAAATAATTATTCAAACTTGCCAAGAGGTTTGCTGAACAGCTCCAATTGATTCAGAATGCTCTTTTCCTTCTTCAGTATGCTTCATACCCTGAAGATCTGGTTCAAAAACTAAACTTCCCTTTCCTGCAAATTACACTCTGACTAAGCCAGCATTTTCGGAAACAGATCAGCACGTACCACGCTCAGTCTCTAAATTCCACACACTTAAGTTCCTCCTCTGGGTGGGACTGGATTTCAGACTGCCATCTACTAGTTTCATCATCAAGTAAGATGGACTCAGCCCGCCTGCGAGTACTGGCAAAATCTGATCGTGTCACCTGTGCAGGGACACTGGGGCCAGTCAGCTCACGGTGGGGAACTCCTGGTTTACAATTCTTCCTGCCATGAAACACCCGTCTAAGTGTAAAAGCTGGGACTGAATGCAGGCCACTAGGGAGCAACCACACCAGCTTCTCCAGCCAGAGAGGCCCAGATCTGGACCCAAACAAGTCCACACCCCCCTCTCCTCCTGCAGAAAGCCAGGGCCCAGGCACCTCCCAGCAGGCCCCGGAGTCCCTCGGGTTGGCTGGTCAGCCTTAGGAGTGTAATCCAT